GCTGCATTGGGAAGACCGTTGCCAGCAGGTCAAGGGCAGCGATCCTCCCTCTCTGCTCAGCACTGGTGACACCACCTCTGCAGTACTGGGTCCAGTGCTGGGCTCCCTAGTACAATCAGGACGTGAGCTTAGTGGGGGCAGTCCAGCAAAGGGCCACGAAGATGAACAGCGGACTGGAGCATCTTTCATATCAAGAGAGGCTGAGAGAGCTGGGACAGTTTTCCTGGAGAAAAGAAGGCTTAGGGAGAGGGGAGTGCTTCTTGTCAATGTACACTGACAGAAGAAGAGGGAGCCAGGCAACAGCACAGGAGGCAATGGGCACAAATGTAAACATAGGAAATGTCACCTGAACACAAGAAACCACCTCTTTATGGCAGGCGCCTGATCACTGGAAGCACTTTCCCAAAGAGACTGTGGAATCTCCCTCCATGGATGTATTGAAAGGCTGTCTAGAGCCAGTCCTGGACAAGCTGCTCTGGCTGATAGCTTGAGCAGGAAGGAGTTGGACTAGAGATCCTCCAAGGGACATCTTCCAAGCCTCATTTTTCTGTGCTTTTAGAATGCGCAGCAGTGGTTCTGAGCAATTTTCTGTGGGATCCCTGTGCTGGTTGGACTCCTGGTGCCCATGGAGCGGAGCCTCCTTTTGAGGATGAGCTCCTTCACTGTGTCATCCTGAGGACAGAGACAATCACAGATTACAAAGGCCAGCATGACCTCAACACACAGCAGTGCCCACTATCCCTGCCTCCACTACCCAGCCCCTTGCCACTAACTGGTGCTGACAGGATGGGACCTCTGGAGGCCTCCAGCACCATGGTCTGGTCTGAGCAGGGAGAACTTGACAAGTAGATCGGGTTGCCCAGGGATTTCTCCTGACCCAGCACACATCCAGTATCATGGTAGGTTTTATCTCCCCTTAAACTCATGAGAAATTTCCCCTTCTGCCCCTTCTGATTCTTGTCCTCATTGTGTTGTGTCCTTTCCACCCATCCTTGCCCCCAGGGCAGATCCTCACAACTACTCTGACCAAGCATCCTTTTACCAGGCCTGGCTGGGATGGAGTTAACTGTCTTTGTAGCAGCCCTGCTAATCGCTGTGCTTTGCATTGGTGGCTGAACCAGTGCTGACCTCACACCAGGGTTCTGGTGTTGCTGAACACTGCCCGTAGAGCATCAAGGCTTTCTCCCCCAAACGCCTCCCACAAAAGTCAGTCAGCTTGACAGGGGGCAAGGAAATGGGAGGGAAGACAGGTGGGACAGCTGACCTGAGCTGACCAAAGGGCTCTTCCATAACAATGGATCTTGTGCTCAGCAATAAAAGCTCGGCAAAACCAGGAGGAAGCGGTGTTGTTTGCTGTTGCGGTGTTTGTCTTCCCAAGCCAGTGTTATGGGCGCTGAGGCTCTGCACTTTAGCAAGTGGCTGAACACCTGTCTGGTCCTGGGAAGTGGTGTGTGAATTCCTCTTTTTGCTTTATTTGCACACATGCCTTTTACTTTTCTGATTCAGGTGTCATTCCCTTGATCCACGAGGGCAGTTGAGTGAAAAACACTGGGTGGGTGTTTGACTACTGGCTGGGGTCAACCCACCACAACAATCACAACCTACTCTCCAAGTGGGGCCTCACCAGGGTTCCTTGGGACTGTGCAGCCAGGACAGGGTGACCAGCTCCAAGCAGAGATACGCACTGGGGGTCCCTGCATGGGCTCAGAGGAGGGCCTGTGGAGACACCCAACACCCAGTGCAGAGGGAATGAGGTGGTGCCCGTTGGCTGACAGTTGGGCAGAGCCAGGGGCTGTGAGGGCGAGCACAGAAGACATCCAGCAGCTCCCCTGCACACCCAGAGTGTGCAGCATGGGAGAGGAGCCACCATGAGCTGTGGCGAAGGTCACAAAAGCTCAGCCTTCAGTTTGGAGCTCCCAGCAGGCAGTGCCAGTGGCTGCAGCCCACAGGAGAGCCCTGACTCCATGAGCAGCAGCGAGTCCCATCCTGGCTGTGGAGAGCTGCTCTGCCTGAAGAGGGGCTGCTGAGACCATTGAGGTGGCTCTACCCACCCAACATTTCCCCTACTAGGTGTCTCTTGGCTTCCTAGAACCATCACAGTGAAAAGGGGGAGAGCCCTGCCTGGCTGGGGCTGGTATGAGGGGATGGGGTCTGGAATGCGGTTCTTGTTTCTCCTGTCTGATCATGCAGCAACAAGCCAGGCTGGATATTTGGACTGAGGGACTTGTCTTGAGGGCCTCCATGGATAGGGGGATGGTCTACAGTTTCCCAAGTCCTCATCTGACTGCTGCCTTTTCCAGTGAGGATCACAGAGGCTGCCAGCCCTACAGAGAATGCAGAAGAGGCCTTGTCCTCCCTGTGGTCACAGCTGGACCCTGGCTGAGAAGCCTTGTCTTGGGGTGGCTTTTAGGGTAAGGTTTGACACATGGGGTGGGAAAGATTGTCTCAAGGACACGTGCTGGGCACAGGGACTGAAGGACTGCAGCAAAAGGTGTGGCTTCTGGGTCAAGCCTTCTTTCAGTGCCAGTCCTGACACAGGTCCCAACGTCCCACTCAATTTCACCCTGCAAGAGGGATGATGGCACTAAGACATGGCAAGCAGTGGACGCCAGTCCTTCTCCAGGCACTTCCCAGGCCTGCGGGAGCACCAAGAGAGCAAGGACTTCTGGGATGGCAGAGCCCTGGTTTGCTTTTGGATACTCAAATATAGTGCTTTGCCTTTGGGAGACTCCACCTTGGATGGCCCCTTCTTTTTGGATGGCCACCCCCAGGCACATAATTTCCTTGTAGATGCCCTCTGCTCCCCTGGGGTCTCCAGTTTCCCCTCCAGAAAGCTGGGCAGATACCATTAAGGCCTGTTACATGCAGGAGAGACCAAGGCAGGGAATTTGGAGCCCATTCACCATCTCCAGTGGCACTGGGAAGCCACAATGGATAGCTGAGTCCAGCCCTGACTCCCTAAAACATATCCGAGTGCCCTCTCCCTGCCACCCCACTGAGAAACAAGCTGAGCAACAGGCAACAGTGAGTGCAGTTCCTGGAGCCTAGTCTTGACTTCAAAGAAAAGAAGTGCCCAGCCTTCAGGAGCTGCCATGGGGATATACTCTTTATTACAGAGATGCTCTTCAGCAAGCCAGCTCTGACACTGTGATGACACATTAACCACAGCTAGTCACAGTGAGGTCATGCTTCTGGACATGTGGAATGAATATAAATATACCTGTGTGAACATGATCATCATGGGAGAAAATGGAATTAATCAGTGAAGAGAGATGGGCAGCTTACTGTTGCCGAAGGTGAACCCATTGAATCTGTTTCCTCAGGGCATCCTTGAGCTCCTGGTTCCTCATGCTATAGATGAGAGGGTTCACTGCTGGAGGCACCACCGAGTACAGAACTGCCACCACCAGGTCCAGGGATGGGGAGGAGACAGAGTGGGGCTTCAGGTAAGAAAACACTGCAGTGCTGATAAACAGGGAGACCACGGCCAGGTGAGGGAGGCACGTGGAAAAGGCTTTGTGCTGTCCCTGCTGAGATGGGATCCTCAGCACAGCCCTGAAGATCTGCATATAGGACACCACAATGAAAACAAAACACATTAAAACTAAACAGGCATTAAGGACAAGAAGCCAAACCTCCCTGAGATAAGCCTCTGAGCAGGAGAGCTTGAGGATCTTGGGTATTTCACAGAAGAACTGGTCCAGAGCATTGCCCTTGCACAGTGGTAGTGAAAATGTATTGGCAGTGTGCAGCACAGCACTGAGAAAGCCGCTGCCCCAGGCAGCTGCTGCCATGTGGACGCAAGCTCTGCTGCCCAGGAGGGTCCCGTAGTGCAGGGGTTTGCAGATGGCAATGTAGCGGTCATAGGCCATGATGGTAAGAAGGTAATACTCTGCTCCAACAGAGAAGGCAAACAGGAAGACCTGGGTCACACATCCAAAGTAGGAGATGTCCCTGGTATCCCAGAAGGAATTGGCCATGGATTTGGGAAGAGTGGTGGAGATGGAGGCCAGATCAAGGAGGGAGAGGTTGAGGAGGAAGAAGTACATGGGGGTGTGGAGGCGGTAGTCGCAGGCTACAGCAGTGATGATGAGGCCATTTCCCAGGAGGGCAGCCAGGTAGATGCCCAGGAAGAGCCAGAAGTGCAAGAGCTGCAGCTCCCATGTGTCTGCGAATGGCAGGAGGAGGAACTGGGTGATGGAGCTGCTGTTGGACATTTGGCTCTTTTGGACATGGAACACAATCCAAACTGGAAAAGGCAGTGACAATTTAGAGGAGATTTCTCTGAGCAAAATCAAAGCAATTTCTCAAATCTTCCTTTTCCTTTTCTAGGGGACCTTCCTTCAGCTCCATGGACATAGCTCTGGCTTGTGCTGGCAGATTGTTCCAGGAGGAGCAGGGCCTGCTGGCTGCCAAGCCAACGGTTCTGCTGTGCAAGTAATGTGTTCATGGGAAAGGTGCAACAGGGGCCAGTGGTGGTGTTCAACCTTCTCAGATGAAACCACTTCTAACACAGAAGGGCTTGTCAGCATCCACACTCTTACTGCCTAGTAACAGGGGTGGAAGAAGGCAGTTTTAGAGGTTTGCCGTTCTTTATAGCTTCCCTCATTTCCTCTGTGGAGTCTTCATGGATGCCAGAAACCCTAAGACTTGCTGCTGAACTCAGGGAGAGCAGAGTGTGTCCTGTAGATCAAAAGGATTGTCTGTGGTTTAGTGCTGAGTGAGAGAAGCTTGTCTGTACCTCGGGTTGGTTCCCAGGTGCTCTGTCCTTGCACTTTTCAGTGCATGAAGGGTGATCAAACTGCCATGTTAGAATCATAGAATCATAGAATGTTTTGGGTTGGAAGGGACCCCTAAAGGTCACCCAGCCCAACCCCCCTGCAGGGAGCAGGGACACCTTTAACCAGATCAGGTTGCTCAGAGCCCCGTCCAACCTGGTCTTGAATGTTCACAGGGATGGGGCCTCCACTACCTCTATGGGCAACCCGTTCCAGTGTTTCACCACCCTCACTGTAAGGAACTTCTTCCTTAGATCCATGTTAACCTGAAAGGCAATCAGACACAGCCTAGAATAGAGGGATCCAGTGCAGACCACTAAATTTCTCACCCTTCCTCGAGGTCTCAGCACCCTATTTCTAGCCAAGGACACACGTGGCTCATTTCACCAAGCCAACAGCATTTCCTCCATCGTAGAATCTCTGCACTTCTCCAGGGGCCTTTCACACTTACAAGGGTGATAGGGGGCACGTTCGCATTCAAGCACACCTCAGGGAGATAGTCAACTGTCTTAATGATAGCATGTATAATGGGAAAACCAGCATATTATCCAAGCCAACAGGGTGGATTGGCCTCAGCCCCGCAGGTTAGAGGAAAGCTGGGACGCTCATTCCTATGGACAGGCCTGCATGGGGGGACCCACAAGTTCAGCATGTGACTCTGCAAATGAAAACTCCACTTTCCCACAGCCCACTGGAATAGAAAAATTAAAAGAATGATTCAGGAAATCTCCTTACCTTATTTTTTTTTTTTACCTTACGGTAATCTCTTGATCTTCTCCTTCAGACATCCCCTTAGAAATGTCCTGGCAGTGATGTACAGCTGTGAGCAGCCCTGACCCACACAGCACTCCTTCAAAAGCAGAAGGACCCTGACTTGCTGAGGGTCACTCCTTCCACGCACAGCTTCTCTCTGCAGAACCCTGGGGAGCTCCCCAGGCAGGCTGAGAGCTGACCCTAGCAGGAGGCAGAGTCCCTGCCCCAGCACACAGCCCCCCACGGTGCAGGGACCCTGCTGGGAAGGACAGCCCTGGGCACACCTGCCTGCACACCCACCTTCACACCCTGCAGCCCTCCCTGGAAGAAGGCAGCTGTCATGCCCTGTCCTTCTGATGGTGCAGCAGGGAGTCCCTGCTCTGCAGCACGTCCTCCTCCTCCACACTTGACAGGCTCTGAGAGTTCTACTTACAGATCCTGTAATCTGTGTGATGTGCCAGCTTTAGGAGATCCCACCAGGATCTGCAGCTGCAATGCCCTGCAGCCACAGGCTTACTCTCTGTCAAGATTTCTCTCCCCACGAGTTCACAGGCTTGTCACACGGCAGAATTCCTGTAACCTCTCTCTGCCTTCGTCCTCTCCCCTTGGTGCCTGCAGGCAGTGCCCTCAGCCCTGCTGCGCTTTGCAGAGGAGCTGCTCCTGGGCAGAGCTGTCTCTCGGCAGCGCTGCCCACTTGCCATCACTCCCTCCATTCCCAGGAGCTCAGGCCAGCTCAGCAGCAGAGGACCAGCCCAAGGCAGCACTTACGCTGCCCCCTCGGGGCTCCCTCCAGGTGTCCCTGGGGCTCCAGGGGAACCTGCTGTGACACAGGCTGAAGTCATCCCTCATGTTCCTTCCCTCAGCTGGGGAGACACACTTCTTGCCAGCAGTGTCATTTCTCCTATGAGGAGAAGATTTGGGCATGAGAATATCCTGTCCTCATTCCATCTTCAGACAGAACACCTAGACAGTGACATGGAAGAAATGTCCTTTATCCCATGATGATGGAAGGGATTCAGCTGAGTCCATCAAGACACCTCATCCTATGTGTGTACTTCTTGTGCTGAAAGGAAACTCAGCTTCCTCCATGCTTGCCACAAACCCATAGGAGGTGAGATTCCTCTGGCCACAGTTCAGTTCAAATATAGGCACCTGCATGTGAGCTCCTTGTCTCAGCTCCCATCCTCATCAATGAAGGAGAGATGAGGAAGGAGATGCAAATGTCTGGCGACATCTGTGGTGCCAGAGGTGGTCAAAGAGACGTGCAGCGAGCTGTAGACTGGAATGGAGCAGTTCATAGAGATAGGGCATCACCCGGGGCCTTGTTCTTGGAGGCTGTTGAGAATTCCCTTTGGCCAAATGCAATGACAGCTGGTGCCCAAATGAAGGGCAGCTGAACACATGATGGTCAGGGCAGCTCACAGAGTTATTCACCTGAACAGTTGCAGTCAGGTGCCACAGGGAGAGCTCAGTCCCTTTCTTCTCCTTCCGCTGGATTTATTAGATCTGCACTGACCACATTGCCAGTTGCCACATGTTCATCCCCACACCAACTTACAGAATTCAGGGTATCTGCTCCACTTCCTGTTCACATCCAGGCCCAGGGAGCTACCGGAGATGCCAGGGCTTGCAGGAACAGCAGAGGACCTACAGGAAAGCAATGCCCATTCAGGGCGGGTGTGTGACAGACGCCCCAGACGGCATTGCAGGGAGTGTGATTGGCTGCCTGTGTACCATTGGCTGTTGTCATCAGTGAGAGGCATCAGTCATCAGGAGCCATCAGAGGGGCAAGGTCTGTCCCTCCTCTACCCAACAGCTGCAGGGTACTTGTGTGAACATGAACCACATCACACTGTAATCTGTACTCACACCCATGGTGATACAGCCAGGGAACAGACCAATCGTTGTCACCATGTTCCTGGACACATCTTGTCTTCAAGGACAGCATCCTGCTGTGGTATGCAAGAAATGCAGAAGCCGAGTGGGCAGTAACTGCAAGGCCAAGAAGAGGAGGAGCAAGAGGGCATCACCGTGACCACACAGTGACTGGCAGGACTGGAATGTGGCCTTGCTATAAAACTTAGGGCTCGAAATTAAACTGCGTCACTTGGAGCATCCATACTGTGTATGCTGCGTTTCCTTGATCCGCAGACGGCAGGGTGTCTGCGTGATCCTTCGGGTAACCTTAAAGTTGATACAAGAACCAACAACCTGCAAGCACAGCAATGATCCTTAGAAAACCTGAGTTGAGACTGGAAAGGGAATGCAATGGGAACCAAGATGAGCTGTTGCTACATCAGGAACAGTTCAAGAAGAAAGAGAGAGAATGCGGCACCACTGCTGAATTTAGAAGGAGCAGATGCAGAGAGATGTAGATAGATGAAGAAAAGAAAGAATCCGATTGTTCTATTGTACCATTGTAGTCCATGAAATACACACCACGTTTAGCAGTGAGAGGCAGGCTCTCCAAAGGGCAGTGTGTACGGGGTACGCCACGATATTTAACTCTCATATCATCTTCATTTTTATGATAGGTCTTGTTGTATAGAATATCTGCGGTTCTGTACCCGCAGGAATGGTAACCCCAACAAATACACATCCCGTATCACAACCTTTGCTCTCTCCAAGAGCCAGGTTTCAGGGAGGTCTCCAGGACCCATATTGCAGTCCAGAACTTTAACACATGTAAACCAATCAGACTGGCTATGCTGTGGGGGATTCACCTATCTAAGATTCACCTATCTTAGGGGTTGTGGGAGGGGTCTCATCTGTGACTACATCCACCGCATATTGGTCAGGTTTCTGGGTTCACACCGCCTTCAATTGGGAAGCAGTACACACCGAGAGAGATTCACATTTAGGGAATAATCAGCCTCATAAAAATCCGGTTGTTCTAACGGTTCTAATATATATATATAAGAATATATAGAATATATATCTAAAAGATATTTGAAGGCTGTCAAGTTGGCAAGGCGTGCTTTACCTTTGGGAAGGCCATGTTCATAGACTCATAGACTCATAGACTCATAGAATCATAGAATCATAGAATCATAGAATGTCTTGGGCTGGAAGGGACCCCTACAGGTCACCCAGTCCAACCCCCTGCAGTGAGCAGGGACACCGCTAACTCAGTCATGTTGCTCACAGCCCTGTCCAACCTGGCCTGGAATGTTCCCAGGTATGTGGTCTCCACTACCTCTCTGGGAAACCCCTTCAGTGTTTCACCACCCTCATTGTAAAGCATTTCCACTTTATATCCAGTCTAAACCTACCCTGCTTCAGTTTAAAACCATCACCCCTTGTCCTCTCACATCTGGCCCTACTAAGAAGAGTCTCCCCATCTTTCCTGTTGGCCCCCTTTAAGTACTGAAAGGCCGCAATCAGGTCTGCCCGCAGCCTTCTCTTCTCCAGGCTGAACAAGCCCAACTCCCTCAGCCTATCCTCATAGGAGAGGGGCTCCAGCCCTCAGATCATTTTTGTAGCCCTCCTCTGGACCTGCTCTAACAGGTCCATGTCCTTCCTGTGCTGAGGGCTCCAGAGCTGGACATAGGGCTGCAGGTGAGGTCTCACTAGAGCAGAGTAGAGGGGCAGAATCCCCTCCCTCGACCTGCAGCGCACATTGCCGGCTCATGTCCAGCTTTTCATCCACCAGCACCCCCAAGTCCCTCTCGTCAGGGCTGCTCTCG